GGGTGGGGGCAAAATTGAGCAAGATAGATACCGTTTTTTACTCATTTCTGCCCTTCCCACCACCCAGGAGCACCCTGAAAGCCTCCTGAAGGCTATGCACAGCCATTTAGAAGGGGGCAGGGTTTCGGGAGGCCAAAAATGCTGTATTCAGTGTATAAGATGCACCCAGATTTTCAGCTTCTTTTTTGAGGGAAAAAGGTGTGTCTTATACTTGGAAAAATACGGTATCTATCTCCTTCATAAAAGCAGTTTAAATAAATCTTTTCAAACACTGGTTACAGGTACTGGAATAGCTCTTTGGAAAGCTGGAATTAATATTTGGAGATTATTGAGAATTCTTTTTTTGCAGTGTTTTTATATGGCTATAAACTAGCGTAGCTGTATCATACCGGTACAGTATAATAGCATTGAAGATATAGTGAAATGGAAGGGAAAGATCCTTTTGGCTTCTACAATATTTGTTTATTTAATTTATAGATCATATTTGTATAGCTGTCCATCTCATAGAATGTGACTCCGGGCAGCATGCAATAAAACCATAAAATAATACTAAAGCAATGCCATTAAAGTATTAATGTTATTATTAACATCAATAGTAGCAAACTCTAAGGCTAAGCGAAAGTGTTAGATATTATGAACAGTGGAGTCATTTTAGGAGATCACAATAAGCCTTGAAGTTACAGTTTACACATTACCTTTACCTAATGTAATTTGGTAAGTTATTTATATTTTACAAATAATAGATCAGAGGTACAAGTGTGGGGAAAAGCCCTCTATTTCCCAATCTAACAGCTGTCCTTTTCTTTATATTTATGGGCCATACCTATTGTTAGATATTAGGGCTGTGCAAATCCTTTGAAAGAGTTGCTTTGCGATGCACCGATTCTCTTTTTGAATCAGTAAAGCAGTTATGTCATTTTCAAGGTTTGTGTGATTGTTTCATAAGCTACTGTTAGCTGGCTCTGCGGGTTGGTAAATATATATCCACTACATGAGCCAGGCTGCAAATAAAAGCTGAGAACAATTTATGAAGTGGTTGCAGGAGTCTGCAAAAAGACAAATCTGCTGTAATGAGACACTTCACCATTTTTGAAAGACTTTTTACTTGCTTTATTTTGTTTTTCTTATAACTGCCCTGTTAAGTAGTCCCCCCCGGTTCCACCACAAAACCGGGGTAGACTAAAGCGCGTGTGACTAAAGCGTGGTGACAAAACCGCACCGTCAAAACTGCGCGACAACAGCACGCCGACAGAAGCGCCATTTAACTTAAGGTAAGGTTTAGGGTTAGGTTTAGGTTTAGGGTAGGTTTAGCGTTAGGTTTAGGGTTAGGTTTAGGT